ATAGTCGAATATGGATCTATTGTTTCTAATTATGACACGCTTTAATTAAATACAGCATGAATTTTATAATGAAGCTTGAATATGGGTCGATTTTTTATATAAAAATGATTATGACGTGCTTTAATTGAATAAAGCATGAATTTATAATGAAGCTGATTATGTAGTCTAATATGGGTCAATTGTTTATATAAAATGATTATGATGCACTTTAATTGAATACAGCATGAATTTTATAATGAAGCTGATTACGTAGTTGAATATGTGTTGATTTTTATGTAAAATAATTATGACATGCTTTAATTGAATACAGCATAAATTTTATTATGAAGCTTTATGTAAAAATGATTATAATGTTTTAATTGAATATAGTATAAATAGTCGAATATGGATCTATTGTTTCTAATTATGACACGCTTTAATTAAATACAGCATGAATTTTATAATGAAGCTTATAATGAAGCTGGTTACGTAGTCGAATATAGTTCGATTTTTTATATAATGATGATTATGACACACTTTAATTGATACTATTATTAAGTAGAATACAGCATGAATTTTATAATGAAGCTGATTACGTAGTTGAATATAGTTCGATTTTTTATATAATGATGATTATGACATGCTTTAATTGATACTATTATAAAGTAGAATACAGCATGCATTTTATAATGAAGCTGGTTATGTAGTCGAATATGGTTTAATTTTTTATATAAAAATAATATGACAAAATTTCGATTTAAAATTCAATTCAATTCAATTTCTGAGTATTTGACTAAATTTAGGTCGAATTATTGAAGAAATCAGCATAGTTGAATTTGATTAAAAATCAGATATCGAATTTTTGACTAAATTAGGTCAAATTATTGAAGAAATCGGCATAGTCGAATTTTATTAAAAATTGAATGTCAAATTTTTGACTAAATTAGATCGAATTATTGAAAAAATCAGCATAGTTGAATTTGATTAAAATTCGGCTGTCGAATCTTTTACCTAATTTAGATCAAATTATTGAAGAAATCAGTATAATCAAATTTTATTAAAATTCAGGTATCAAATTTTTTAACTAAATTAGGGGTGGCTAAAGCAGAGCGAGTTTTTGATGATCGATAGATGATCAACTAATCAAATTGTAAAAATTTGGCTATCCTGGATCAGCCTGAAGAAACAAAACAAGTGAAAAAAAGAGAAAAATGTGAAAATACAAGAAATAATAGTCATAACCTATTTTGGTATGTTAATAAAAAATGTTGAGGAGGCAATTTTACCTATAACCTTTTTTAAATATAATATCAAAATGGCCCTAACCCTAACCCTAATATTAAATAAATGCTAAATTAGATAAAATTTCAAAACTCGCTCCACTTTAGCCAACCTCTAAATTAGGTTGAGTTATTGAAGAAATCGACATAGTCGAATTTTATTAAAATTCAGTTGTCAAAGTTTTGTCTAAATTAGGTCGAATTATTGAAGAAATCGGCATAGTCAAATTTTATTAAAATTCAGTTGTCAAATTTTTGACTAAATTAGGTCGAATTAATGTTGAAGCTAATGAATTTTAAAAAAATCAGCTAATTTGTTACTGAGTGTTATTGTAATTCGACCAGGTCGAATTCATAGTTTTCGACTAGTATCACACTTTCAAAATACAAAAACTGTGATTATAAAAAAGTATAACTAATATAAAGGTATTTTCTATATACAGTCAATTCCCTTTATAGTCACAAAATTAGTATAATTATAAATTTACTTTTACCAATTATTTATAACTATATAGAAAATACCTCTATATTAGCCATATCTCTTTATAATCACAGTTTTTTTATATCCTGAAGGCATGATTAAAAGAGGTTTGACTATATTTATAACTATATAAAACTTTCTCTATATTAATTACACCTTTTTATAATCATAGTTTTATGCAATATTCCATAGAATAGGTGGGCAAACTTTGCAAACTCTACAATTCTACTATTAAAAAATTAATGATTACTAATCATTAGTGAAGCTTATTTCTTATATTGCCAATCCATTCTATAGAATATCTGTTTTTTTGTATCCCAAATATAACTATAGAGAGGTTTGACTATGCTTAAAAAAATAAAACTTGTATAACAAGAGTGTCTACTATGCTGGTTTTGATCATACAAAGTTTTATTTAACTTATTGGCTATACTAAATATAATGCAACAAATAAATATATAAAATATTAATAAATAATTTTTAAAATTATAAACTACATTAAAATCTATATAATTTGCTTTTAGCTAATAAAATTTTATTTTATTTATTTATTTTTAATAATATTAATATAATACATATTAATATTTTAATTTGTCAATCTGATAGTATATATTCATCGAATATTTATTGAATTATTTGATGAATAATTTAATTTTTATATTTGAATTTTCATTTGGTGAAACAATTATCTATTCGAATATTCAAATATTCAATGAATATTCGAATATACTATTCATCGAGTTAGACCTCTATGTATCATAATACTATAATATTTAGTTTAGAGTTTATAGCTATTATTCTAATATAAGGTACAACAACTAATAGTATATTTAATTGCTTAATGGACTAAATACAAAGTAGTATTTTATTTGATAAATCACATGTAATCTAATTAATTAAATCCTAAGTAATTATTAAAATTAGTCAGTGAAACCATCTGCATGATCATATTATAGTTGATTTATAATTAAGAACATTTATTTATATTATTTATAAATTTTTAATAGTAATCATCTGGAATCTCTACAGAATCAATTTGTTTGCTTGGTTGGCTTACTTTAACATTTTTTAACTGTTCTGTTAATTGTTTGATCTTTCATGTATTGATTACATTGCTTGTATACATGTGATAAGGATGTTTCAGTTCAACAAGTTTCGGCCTGTATTTGTTAGCTTCTTCAAATTCTTGATAAGTTTCATTGTCACCTTTATATAATAATTCAAGCCAGTTATTAACTTTATCGTGAATATCTTTTACATTAGGACATTTATCTGGATCAGAATCCATACATTGTTTAGCTAATTTTGCATAACGTTTAGGAATTTCTAGTAAAAATTCAGGACGTAATCCTTTATATATGTTTAATAAAAGATTAAGATCAAATGGTAATTCCATCATATGGCCTTTGTCCTGTACACAATTCTCACATAATAATACCTAGTCTATAAACATCGGCAGCTTGTGTGAATGGTTTTCCTTTTAATACTTCAGAACTAACATATGGTAATACACCATAAATCTTACTTGTTTCCTCATTTTCTTTTCTAGCTAAGCCTAAATCAGAAATATAAGTTGATAGATTGTAACCATAAATGTCTTCATCTAGTAAAATGTTTTCACTATGAAAATCTAAATGAATCAGCCCTGCATTATGAATTTGTTTTAAATTTTTCAACATATCTAAAAGTATTTCTAATTTTTTTTCTCATCTTAAATTTTGAAAATTTTCCTTTAAATAATTAAAAAGGCTTCCATTTTTAGCATATTGAAATACCATCATATATTTGTCTGTTTCAAATTTCAGAGTCAACCCATATACATCCAACATTAAGTATTTCTTAATGCATTTCATGTGATTTTCAAATTCTTTTAGAGTTACAGTCTTGAGAGTGACAATATTAGATGATTCATGTATATTATCATAATTGACATCATTAAAACCAACAGATTCATAATCGACATCACTATAATCACCAGATTCATAATCATCATGCTGTTTATCATGTTTACTATCCAACAATATTGCTCTGTACACAGTGCTGAAACCACCTTTTCCTATAATTTCGATGTTAGATAATCTATGAAATGGAATCCATTCAATTTTATATTTAGGCAGAATTTTTTTAAATTTCTCGGATATCCCAGATTTCTCAAAATGTTTTTTCTCAAATTTGTTATATGGTTGTTTAATTTTATTTGAATCTACCAAATTATAAATTTTATCATGGATGTATTCTATATTAAGTCCTTTATAAGAAACAGATTCTATGTATTGTTTGGCCAATTCTACATAAAATTCATCAGATGTACCAACATATATATCATTTTTTATATTTTGTAGTTTTATATCTGATTTAGTTAATTCTGATAAAATATTTTCATTATTCTGCCATTCCACAAAGGTATTATAAACTTCTGTTGCTGTTGGTTGGTATTCAGGATTACTATCCCAACATTTCCTCATTAAGTTTACATAGCATATTGCCGCATTATCGCAAATAAGTGGCCGTAAACCATTACATACTTGTATCTGAAATTGTATTTTAGATTGTAACTTAGATTTTTGTGCAAAAGGTACAGGTTTACCATATAAAATTTCCCACATGATTATACCAAATAAATAGATATCTGATGTCTTAGTGTATATTTTTTTGTCCAGGACTTCAGGGGCAATGTAAGGTAAAATTCTATAAATTGCATCAAATCTTGGTTTTAATATAATATTAGCAGTCATCGAAAGTCCCAAATTTGATATGTATGCACCTGTCGAACTATTTAGTAGTATATTTCCACAATGTAAATTTCGATGAATAAGATCATGAGAATGAACTATCTGAAGATCTGATACAATACATTGTAGCAGATTTAATTTATCTTTCCAATCTATTTGTGCTATAGTTTGGAGATTTTGGCGCAAACTACCTTTTGAGGCATATTGCAAAACAAGAATATAATCTTTAGATGTATCATCTTTTGATATACCAAAACATTTTAAAAAAGTTGGATCTTTAAGGCCGATATCACAGTATGCTTTTAACTTATTATTAGAAAAAAATATATTTTAAATTATGAATATGAATAATAATTATATACTGCATAATTAATAAAAATATTAAATGAAAATAAAACTCTTTCCCGTAGATCCTAATTTTATAAGAAAATACAAACAACAATCCAAAATACGTTTGAACTATAATTAATTAAATAAATAAAATACAGACTACTTTACAAAACCTAAACACAACACAAGGCACATACAACAAACAACAAACATAAAGCGAAAAAAGAGTAGCAACTACTACACAACAAATAACAACAAAGAAAATACAAGGCCTTTGGGCCCTATTACACTATTTACTCTAAACATACAACCACAACTCCAAATGGGCAACAACAACAATACTAATACTAGCAACAACAAAGGAAAGAAAAAAATACAAATTAAACCTAACTCTATCTATACAGACACAAGTGCTAAAAGACGGCGAACACTTCTTCCAAGACCACCTCTCAATGCAAAAAGTGGGCAATCCAGCTTACCCCTATCAAAAAATGCGATGACATCATCATTGATCAACAACAACAACAATCAAGCAGCACAAACAGGTTTTAACAACATCCAAACCAGTACAGCGAGAAAAAACAACACAATGCCTCAAAATAACAATAATGATATGCAAACACCTCTAAATAACAACCTTAAAATAGTAAATATGCTAGCAATACCCGACTCTAATACAGTACAGGACCCACAAAACAAAATGGAAACTGACTCAGCCTCAACAATATCTGCAAACTATAATACTCCAAATATACTTACCTACAGCCAAGCCGCAAAACAAAATCTAACTGGAAATCAAATGCAGCTTGATGAAGATCCTACTCAAAAATGGCTAGAACATATACATGCAGAACTTAACAAAGAAATCTCACAACCATACAACAATACCATATAGCACTATGATAAACTAATTAATAATATGCAGACCAACATAAAAATACAAGAATTTATACAATACAAATTCAAAACTAAACCGACACATAACAGTATTCCTCCAGCAATTTAAGCAAAATTCAAACATTTAGACCATACTTTCTTTCTTACATTCACTAGAACAAAAAGATTCATACCACAACACCAAAATGAGTACGAAGAGCTATTCTACAATGCCCTGCAAAATTACAAAAGCGCAAACCAAATTACCATTACTAACAAAGAAACTAG